TTCATAACGCGGTTTATAAAACCGTCTCTCGCATTTTTAAACAGCAGTTACAGAGTGCCTATCGTCGCAGGAGCTATTGTTTTGTCTTGGACATTGCATTGTGCATTGCGTGAAAGTGATGGAAGAATTAAAAATGAACCGAAGTGAAATTTTTAATTTTGCTCTGCGGCGTTGTCTCTATTTCTCATGATGTAATAATTTATTTCTGAACAATTTAAAAGTTCTGCCGGAGATCTCACGGCATATATACCACGCTATCGGACCTGTGAGGAAACAGAAACTCCTAGGATGATACGATTCAAATTTTACAGTTCAAATCTGATGACATGTCAACCTTCATTGTGCCCCACATAATATTTCACAATTCTCGTTACCGGTATGCTGCCGTTTCATGTATGGAAAGGTACAACAAAATGTTGAAGCCCTTCTTTCCTTATTTTCAAAATATAAACTGTTTGTTTACGGTGTTGAGCACATAAACGGCACGCCTGATTTATTTCCCGTTTGATTTATGTGGGCTTGAACTTCCCGCTATAATGCACCTATCAATGTAAAGCCGGAGCGGGGGGGGGCAGGGCATAGGGTGGGGATTTAATTGTCTTTGTTGTCCCTGGGGTAGGGCATTTGACTGATCTTGTTCTCCCGGGGGAGGGGATATTTGAATCTTTCTTCGCCCGACGTGGAGATATTTGACTGCCGACTCGCACGAAAAAGACTGAGACCGAACATGTGTTTCCCGCTTCTACGCTTCACGCACGCGCCATACGGTTTCAAAAGATCAGTAAGTCATGGAGGCCAATGAGAGCAAGCGAAGGCTGAGTGGACTTCACTGTTTTGTCTTCAAATTTCGTTTGTTTTAGGGTGTTTTTGATCAATTGAACCTGTTAATATAATGTGGTATCAAAGTAAACGGAAGTAAAGAGAAACCGAGCCGATTTTTGCAAGTACAGTTGATTAGTGTATGGCTCGTTCGCTACAATCACTGATAAAACTGACTTTGTTTGTACCCTTTACTAAGAACGGTATATCTAGACTTACAAAATGTGGACTTTCTCCTAAAGGTTTATGTATTCTACCCAGTGTGACACGGATTATGGTTAAAACATATAATTGCAGCTGTAACAGGAACATGTATCTTTGGTGATGCAGCAACGTTTATAAAAGATTGCAGAGTTTTATTTGGAGATATGCAGCCTGGGGTGGGGAAATTTGGTTGCAATTGACTGGAATGATTTGCCCGTGGGCAGGGAATTTGATTGCAAATTTTTGAAAAAAGTCAAATCCCCACCCTATGCCCTGCCTCCCCCCCCCGCCGGCATTACATTGATAGGTGCATAAACGACGCGCCAGTGAAGCAGTGTATATTATTTAGGTCAGTAAGATTTGATGGAAATTTGTTTAAATTGATATCAGGATAATAAATAGGTCAAAGCAAAGCTTTTGCTTCCAGTAGTCAGTCAGGTTGAATCATGACTTCATTGACCATCCTAAAGGAAAATTTGACTTGAGAAACTTTTTTAGAGGAGCTCTCACGCGCGCGCGTAAAGGACACACAATTGGCAACAAATTTGGTTACCTTTGCATGGGCGCCATTCCATTCAATCAAAACGTCTGGTTTAAATTTTCAGCAACTTCCTTGCAGTACCGAATGGAACAGCATTTTCGCAATATATACCCAAATTTTCGAAAATTATCATCGGGAAGTTTTCTTTCCGCATTCAAATTTGCTCCCGAATGTCTAAAATATCTGGTTGAAAGGTTCGCATTTCGGAAACTTTTCCGGAAGTCTGGGAACTTTTCCGGGAAAATACTGTACCAATTGCCGCTGTTTCCAAAGTTTCTTAAGTTTTGGGTGAATGGAAAGCGCCCAAAATGCATCCAAGAAATTTTGGTTCTGAGAGAATCGTCTGCACGTACTGCGACGTGCAAAAAAGTGTGCTGCACGTGCATATTAGACCTATTGACCTTTGCATTACTTATAACCAGCCCCGGGTAACTGGCGGCTATGAGCGATTTGCGTGGGTGTTTGGCACGTTTCATAAGATTACATTGAGATTTGCTATGAATATACTATTTTGGTTTTGTGCGGGGATGGGGCATTTTGCACACTTCTATTAAGCCCCCCCACCCTTCCCCGCGGTTTTTTTTAGGTCGTCGTTTTCTAGGTCGTTGTTTTCTAGGTCGTCGGTTTCTAGGTCGTTGTTTTCTAGGTCGTCGTTTTCTAGGTCGTCGTTTTCTAGGTCGTCGTTTTCTAGGTCGTCGTTTTCTAGGTCGTCGTTTTCTAGGTCGTCGCTTTCTAGGTCGTCGTTTTCTAGGTCGTCGTTTTCTAGGTCGTTGTTTTCTAGGTCGTCGTTTTCTAGGTCGTTGTTTTCTAGGTCGTCGTTTTCTAGGTCGTAGGTCTTCGTTTTCTAGGTCGTCGTTTTCTAGACACCCATTTGATGCGTGCCTATACACGTGATTTTCGGCGTTTTGCAGAGGTATTTCCTTCAGTGTTCAGTCGATCGCAAACACCACGCTTCTCCATAACATTTATTCTATCAAAATTAAAAGGAGTTAAATATTACAACGCAAAACACCACTGTTCTTCGTTGATATATAGGAAACAAAACACTGAGTAGTGTGTTCTTTACTCGATACTTTCTAACAATGCAATCCAAAAACACAACCGGAACTCACTTTCTCGAAACACAACTGGATTCATAGACTTGTTACAAGTAGACCTCAACGGGTTTCCTAGCGAGCGGAGCGAGAGCAAACCCATGGATAATATAAAACCACGGGATAAACTTTTACGAAAATTTGCGTCTTTCATTCAACGATCCTAAACGCAAGGTGTAATGCGATCTGAGGCAAAAATACCGACCAATTAGATTGCGGCCTCAGATTGTCTCCAGGGAATTAGCAACAAGAACTGCAAGATTCCCACACTCGCGAGTCACGGAAGACACGGAACTAAGTTTCATACAGGAGCTACCAAAGAGAGAATGGCTTAGCGACTTTGCTGTTCTTTGAACTTGAGCATGGTGCCACGTGAAATTGCATTCCACTCTCAGCACTTAGGAAAATTTGCGCTTGACTCTAGGTGGCTGACTTTTTGACAAAAATCAGAACCTTTTTTACCGGAGTGTTCAACTAAAGCAAACTGTGCATACATCCGGTAAGTTCGACTCAATTTAATCGCGGAAAGAGAATCGAGAAAGAGAAAACCAGTTGAACGCCTCCATCAGTCACTTTTTTGAGTTCATATGCAACCAATAAACAACTTGCAGCCTGATTCTCAGACGATGTCCTCTTCTCTCCTGTGGCAATTTAGCAGTTAAAGTACACAACATGGTAACAACATTTGCATTTTGGTCGTGGATGTTCTGACTTCTTTCTATTTTTTTCGTTTACAGTCCTAAACTGTGTATTCCTCCAAAGCTTCTTATAATTATGCGTTTTGGGTTCCGCCCAAGCTATTTTAAAATTATCATTTTGAGATCGTACACTTGCAATGTACATTGCGCCGTCTTTCTCTCAAAAGATGCTCTTCAGCGTTGTTGAATGACCTGCTGTTTCTTCTCGTACCCATTTTGATACACAAATTTAATATTTTCTGGTCATACTCTGTCATAGGAAATACAAACAAATCTTCGAAACTGTGACGTTAAATTTCGGTTCAAACAAGACACATTTATAAGAAAGATAAGGTCGTAAAAAACAACATTCACGCTTTAGCTTTTGCTTTTGTGACGGGTTATTTGAGCTGCCAGATATTTTTGATGACCTTTGTTACTATTGGCCCGATAAAGACTTGAGACCCGTTGCCGATTCCGTTTCATTCGGTACCGATAAAATCGGGTCCGACCTTCAACGGAATCGGAAAAAATCGGTGCCCAATTGATCGGCATCGGTGTCACCCGATGCCGATATTTGGACGCGTTCCCTAAGTAATTTGGGTAAAATCCTATTCTATAAGTCGACTTACACGTTGAATAGAAAACTCTAATAGTACATCAAATATAAGCGACACATCTACTCGTTTCTTTAATTATTAAATATTGTCTATTCTACGTGGATGACTTACTTGATAAGTAAGTAATATCTTAATTGATGTGCACGCGATTTTTCAAATAACCCATTGCATATGAAACTCTAACTGATCACAATTGCTTTCTAACTCGCAAGTTTAATCGTAAACGCTAAAACGTTTCATAAGCCATCATATACTTGTGTCTTCACTCAATATTGTATATATAACATGGCCTATTTCATTTGTATGACCTACTCATAAGCAGGTGACCTACTCAGCTACACGCGGATTCAGTGGTATATCCTAATTGACTTTTTACCCAGTGAAAAAAGCCATTCTTAATTTGCAAATCAGATGGAAGAGAAAATCGAAACGCATTTCCGGTAATTCTTTCAGTCCGTTGAGGGCCCAGAACAAGAACGTTACTACTAAATTATAAACCGGATTAAGATTACGTCTACGACGCAGGCTACATTATCTACTCCTATCTTTGATTTATATTGCGGTCTACTAAGGCTGTATGACCTTCATAAGAAAGTAATATCGGAATAAATGTAAAAATATATTTTGTAAGTAATGTATTGCTTATGTAAAAATACAGCTATTATTTTTCATTTTTGTTACTCTAACGATCATACAGACACTTATTCATATCAGAAAATCCGGCCATACTAAATCTTCAAGCAAAAACTGCTGCTATTTTTACCAGTATATGCCCAGTCAGGGCCTCGTGCCTTAATCTTGCCCTTGGGCATACAGGAAGTATTTTTTTTTTCACATAAATCAAATCCTGGGCACCCTGGATTTCACAATTTTCACAGGTTCAGAGCACCGGGCCCTCTTCAATTTTCAGACCACAGCCATTCAGATAGTGGGGAAGACGCAAATAAAAGCGGGCGCCACTCCCCACGATCTGAACGACTGGAACAGGCTAAGCGCACACATTGCCAGGAATTATCGATGATATGGTGTACAGTGGGTTCCACAATTAAGATGATACATTGGCATCTTTCAGTTCATTGATTATTCCCTGCATGGTTGGTCTCGTCCCAGGCTCTCTGTGCAGGCATCGCCGTACCAGGACGCGAAACACAGAGTTCGTTACGAGCACGACTTGTTCTTCTCGCCTTGTAGGATCTGGCAGTTCCCGGATGCACATTTCACAGAAAAGAGCACCAAAGCTGTAGACATCAACCTAAGAAAAACAATCATAATACATGACTTTATGCCAGAATATTGTTTATTTAGATTACTTATTAGTGGTATACTGATTACGAAAAGAGTTAAAGTAACACCAGAGGGAGAATCTCGAGAATGCAAACGAAATATATGATTATCAAGATTGATAAATGAATAAAAAAAGCCTAGAAAACAGAAGATCCTTAAAAGGCCTCTTGGTAAGTTCTTGGCTTAAATGTTTTGTTTCTAAAAATACTAACTTTTGCAATCCTCTAACTAGCCTGAGTATCAGGCCTTCCTAAGAGGGTCTCAATGGGGTGGTGGCATTTACGGTTATCGGCTAAAATCTTGGCTCTTTTACGGCTATCGGTTAATTTTTTTCAGTTACGGTTAACGAAAAAGTTAAAGATTAACTGCTTTTGTTTCAAAACGTTAAATATTAATTAACCTGTATTTTTTTGTATTTTTAAATCAAAATAAAGGTCTTCGGATCATCTCGGGATAAAATAAGCCATTCTTTTGAAAAATTTTCACATTGGATAGATCATACTTTTTATAAAGTAATCCACTTCTAATATTATTTTACACATAGAAATGTCAGTAGTCAATTTGAAAATAATCTTTGTAAAAAAGCAAAAGCAGACAAGCAAACGCCCAACTCAAGGCCGGGGCGACATTCATTATTACAGAAATGGCCGTTTTCACACTAGAGAAGGATTATTCGTGTGAGACGGGTTATCCGTTTGATGATTCGCGTCAGATAGGTAATACGTCTTAATTTGAAAATGGAATAGTTTTAATTTTGAGTGAACAATCCGCCTGACTTTTGAAGACGGGATTATCCGTTCTAGGTAGCCTTGGTACAGCCGCCCCCTCCCCTCAGAAAAAAATCGGAGATGGGGTGTCTGTGGGGACGGCGCGACTGTACACAGGCTAGTCTCGGACGGATGATCCATTTCTAGCTCTAGTGTGAAAACGGCCAATAACAAAATTCTCTTGTCCAGTGTTTTTAATGATAGCGAAGGACTGTACAGAACGACTGTCTGCCGTTGCCTTGTTCGTAGGCCGCATTATTCCGCTAATGCGTTTCGGGTCAGTTGGTCCGAGCGAGTTCGCCACCGAAATGCCTTGACCGAGACTGCGTGGCCGGGAAGACGCCGTACAGGGACTAGGCATAGCAATGTCTACCGTAGCGTCAGCGGAGAAAACAGGGAAGTGTTGTTTATCGGCAACGTGTTTTACAAACAGTGACATCGCTGCGTGCTGTTTCACTAGTGTTTCGAGGGCACGACCTCCCGAAAATTGCAGATATTAATTCCCAGTAAGAAGCCACACTTTCGCTATGGAAAAAATTAGTTCCCCGATAGAGCGCCGGAAATGGAGCCTAGGTCTTGGTTAACACCTAAAAGGCGCTTCGCCTGACGTGCGTACGGAGTCACACTAGCCGGGAAATAAAAAACGCAACCATAGGTGAGTTTAGTACCTTCCTTAAAAGTAGCAAATCTAAGGAACACCTTCTTTTACGGTTAACTCTTTTTTACCCTATTTACGGCTAACGGTTAAAATTTTTCAATTTTTACGGCTATCGGCTAAATTTTTGCCCGTTTTACGCCTATCGGTTAACCCCATTGAGACCCTCTCCTAAGGGGCTAGGGGAGAGGAGATTTTAGATGGGGGAGGGGGAGGGGGAGGGGGAGAAGAGAAAGGAAGGCCTGACACAAAACCATTCAGCAAATCGTGTGACACATCCAAAATCTGGATGTGGCAGTGATTGGACAACACACAATACCCCCTGACGTCACTGACCGCAAGAGCGATCGGCAAGGAGGCGGTCATTGAAGTTTTTCATACACGTTTTGATTTCATGTTACCGGTATGTGATACTTTTACAGACAGAGACGCAGAGAGGAATTCAAAAAGGCTGTAGAGGGCGCTCTCAAGTTCTTTTCTGGAATAAAAATAAAACCCGAGCAAGAATTGTGTCTTCAAGGCCTCGTAGTTTAAAGGAAAGATGTACTCGGAGTGTGGAAAAGCCTCATATGGTTTCACAAGACCGGGACAAAGAAGACAATATCAGTGTTTCAGATATCTAAGTTCAGATTTACACTGCCGTTAAAAGGGTATTGTTACTGTAAATGAAAATAGAGCGAGGTAGCCATGTATTGAGATAGCCGACAGCACAAATGCTTTTAAAAAGCTTGACTTTGCTTGTTGCGGTTACGATAGCGTACGTGATTGGAATTCGTTCGCTTCCTCTTCCAAAATTTTCTCACTTTTGAAATGTCTTAAGCTCAAGCGGGCGCCATAATATTTCGCCAACGAGATTGACTTTTGCTATAGGCTCTCACTTCTTTTTGAACTTGTAACAGCTTTCACGAGCTCTCTGTGAAGTGGTGGAATTTGCTGCTGCTTGATAATTTCTAGGCATAGGTGTTTCATCATCGCACCTTCCTATTTATTCTTGCAGCTCCTTTCAACCACCCGAGAATACGAGGGATAACATCAGCTTTTTAGCTGCCAGACAAGCGGCTGATTTAACTCTGTAAACAAAAGCAATTTACAATTTTCCGGGCACACGTTTATTTACAAACAGAGCGTTGGCGATCTTACACTAGCACAATTCCCAAAACATGTTATAATTCCTCATAAATGGCAGGTTTTACAGTACAAGTATGCGAAAACTCCTCATTGGAGGTTTCAGAAAAAAAGCGAAATCGTAGCAACACAAGCACCGGAGCTCGGCCAGACCGTAAATTGAGATTTATTTTAGGCGAGCTTTTTGACACGTGAAGCTGACAACCCAATGACCGGAAGTGATTTTGATTGGATGGTATCGAATCATGCTGCGTGGGGCGGAAGGCTCCAGTAAAAGCATCTGTGTCAGGCGTTTCTCTCCTTCACCTCTCTCCCTTTTTCGCTTCCATCTTTCCCCTTTTCCCCAGAAACGCCTGATACTCAGGCTATCCTCTAACTGTTGTCTTTAGAGAAAAGAAGGGATAAATTAACAAATCCAGTTAGGTGGACCAAATCCATGGAGAAAAACATAAAAGAGTTGAAAAAGTGCCGAACAAGGTGCAAAGACTCCTGACAAAGATATGGTCATTTTTAATTCAAGAATGTTGAAGTGTTTGTGGAGTGGACAAGAGGGCGAGTTTGGGGGAAAGGACAAGCGTCACTTTCACTTCTGCCACTGTTAGCCTTGCTGTACAGCTTTAGTAAGTAAAAAGTCTTGAATGTTCACTTAAGCTAACCTTGACTGTTTGGTTTGATGTAAGTGCTTCAGGTGCGCTGTAAATCATAGCTCCAGGAGCCACTGTCATGGTCTGCTGTATGAAATTAGCAGTGCCGTAATCTGACACTTTGGCCCTCCATTGATCACCCTGTCGCCATAGCAACACATTAGCACTGCTCACATCCCGGTGAATGATGGGTTCTGGTTTCTTCTGGTGAAGATAGTTCAGTGCGCGAGCTACATCCAAAGAAATGGTGCGTATTTCTGTTTCGGACAGTTGCCGCTGTTCTAACAGAGTCCGCAAACTTTTCTCCATCAACTCGGTCACAAACAGAGGACTTCCCTCGTCAACTGTGGCGCCGATAAACTGAAGCAAGTGAGGATGGCGACACTTGGATGCAATATTCATTTCTCTCTCAAAAAGACGTATGTTATGAGGGGAGAGAATCAACTCGTGGATTTCTTTCACTGCTACAGTACAGCCACAATACGTTCCCTCATTGACACTTCCCCATCCTCCCCTCCCAAGGCATTTTTCTGTGATTTGAATTTCGTCGCGGGGAATAACCCAGTCACGTGCTCCCTGGTTACGCAATTGATTTATTGTTTGCTGTGCTGTCGAAAGACTTAACTGTAGTTCAGAAACTTGTCCTCGGGAATTGGTCAACTGTTGTCCTATCTCCCTTAGTTGCCGCTGCAACTCCCTCAGCTGCCTCTGAGAATTTTCTTCACGTTGTTGCAACTCCGTTAACTGCCTCTGAGAATTTTCTTCACGCTGTTGAAACTCCGTCAACTGTCTTTGAGAATTTTGTTCTGCTTCCCGAAGGTCTCTCACCAGCCGCTGCATATTTTGTTCACGTTGACGAAACTCCGTTAGCTGGCTCTGACAGTACTGATCCCGTTCTTGAACCACTCTGAGCTCCCGTTGTAAATTCTGTTCGCGTTCCTGCATCTCCCGTAACTGTCTCTGGAAGTTTTCTTCACGTTGCTGAAAATCTCTCAACTGTCTTTCTAATTCTGGGGTTCGCCCTGGCGAGTTTGCTTCTCGTAGATCTTGCATTTTTTCTGAAAAGATAATTTATGATCAAAAACAAAACAAGGCAATCAAAATCACCCAAGTAACATGGGCGAAATGATTAAGTGTCACCTAAAAAAGAAAAATTACAAATTTTGACTTTATAGATAATTTTCAATGCACTGCATTTCTCTCTTGAAATTGAGCGACACATGAGCATAAACGAGATACTGATGAAGAGGATGAAATTCAGAATTCCTTTTCGCCCCAGCTGTCACGGAAGAGTGTGTCCAAAAACACAGTCCCTTCTTTGAACGAGTTCTTATTTTTTCGCACAAATGTATCTCAATAAAGGTTTCTCAGAGGGCATATGGATACATCAGTTGATTTCATATAAAAACGTTTCGACAAGATCCAGTCCAAAATTAAAATTACGCTGACATTTTTAAGATATTTACGGTAATACAAATTGAAAGCAGACGGATAGAACGTGTTGGGCGATCCAAACTCATTCAAACGAACTTAACTGAGCCAGACGTCGAACTTTTCAAGAACTTAACTCACTAAGTTTGGACTGGTCGTAATAGTCGGTGGGGGAGGGGGGCGGGGTGGGAAGAGACCAAGTTTATGGCTCAAAATGTAACCTTAACGAGAAATGTAACAACACGTGAAGCAAAATGTAACATTAAATCGTAATGTAACAACTTTAACATAAAATGCATGCAATAACTTTCTAACGTGAAATGTAACTCAAATTGCAAAAACTTTATACTAAAGGAATATCTGACAATGTAAACTGTAACTAAATTCTTTAACTATAAACAGAAATTTAGTAAAACATATAAGCTTTCTCACGAGTCATGTTGTCAATTGCGATTTCTTATCGATTCATTTATATACTTCATCGTCTAATAAGAATCACCACTGAAAAGTATCCAAGATAAACGTGCTGCATTCTTTACTACAAGACACATAAGGGGCGTCGTTTTAACACTGATTGAAAAAACGAGTTGCAAATCTATATTGTATTCTGCGGGGAAGCAGCAGGTTTCTCAGTCTCAAACCCTAGATAAAACTTTTAGTCCGGCCGGGACTATATACTGGCGGTATTCAGTTGCATTCTTTATCACAAGTTATAAGGCACAAAGCTAAGGGGTGTCTAAAAACAGAAAATTATGTCCTTTTTACGCAGACTTAAAAAAAATCAATCGCAAATCTATATCCTGCGATACAGAACTCAAAACCTAGATAAAACTTAGATATAAATCGGGACTATATACCCGCGTTGGTGACGCCTGCGGGCTATATTCAACCTACGGTCGACTCCGGGCCGTGGTTTCTTCGAAAAAAATGTAAAGCCATACAGTGTAACGATAACATAGGCACAAGCATGTTAGTTCAATCGTTATCCACTGGATAAATCTCTATCCAATGTATAACGCAATTGGGCTGATCTTTCTGGTCAGCAGTGAGAAATCTCCTGCTTCCAAACTGTACTTTTCCTCTGGATATAGGGATTTATCCGGTGGATAGCGCTGTCTAACGTTTCAACAACTGGGGCCATTTTTTTCGGTGTAATTTGTTTACCAACGAACACCTGGGAGTTGTTAAGAACTCGTTGAAACATGTCCGTGCGTTCCAGATCGAATTGGAATTTGAAAGTGTTGGTTTTAAAGAAGAGGGGGGAACCGAAGTACTCGGAGAGAAACCTCTTGGTGCAAAGGAGAAAACCAACAACAAACTTAACCCACATTATGGCGTCGACGCCAGGATTCGAACCCGGGCCACATTGATGGGAGGCGAGCGTGAGATACGCCTTTTGAAAGAACAGGATGAAGGGGTAAAAAATACGTGTAGCTCCTATGGCTATTTTTACTGGTCGATGAATTACCCAACGAAAGTGTAGAGAGAAATAGCCTAATATTTTCCAATTTAATACAATGAAACCTCTATTAAGCGGACACCATCGGGACCTTCTCAAGTATCCGCTTAATAGAGGTTGTAAAAGTTACACAATGTTTGTTAACGATCAACATTCAACGGTTAATCTGTACGGTGATAAAGTTGCATGTTGTTAAAGAAGCTATCCAGAGTTCAAGTTCATTACCTTTCATTACCAACTTTAATTTGTTTGTAAATGCAAAAACATCAGCTGACTTCAGTACGTATTTCAAGGACGTAATCCAATACTACTATTGTCAATTTAGTCCGGTGTCCTCTTAATAGAGGTGTTTAACAATAGAAATTAGCCAAATACAACTTATTTTAGTGCCGCGCCCGCTTAATAGAGGTGTCCACTGAATAGGGGTTCGTTAAAAAGGGAAATACAAAAAGTTGATTTCGGGACCCGGCTTAGTGTCCGCTTAATAGAGGTTTCACTGTATTTCCTGCCCTCATATGACTTTGCTTTGGGGAGATGCCGTAATATTAGAGACCCTTAGCATCAGGTTTTTCAGTTTGCAGTTTCACGTTGCCGGGATTTCAAATTTTACCAAGGCGTTCATTGTTTAGTGCCGCCATGTTGTTTTTCGAAATTCGAAGTTCTTTGTTTTTTTTCTCCCAAAAACATAAATAATTCATTGCTTCGAGATCAAAAATCGAAGTAACACATCACAGGTGGATATAGAAAGCTGACTCGTGCCTTTAAACGTGAGGCTGCACAATTTTTGGAGGTAAAAAAACCCTTGCCGTAAGTCACTTACCGCTGAAAGCCCTTCCTGCCATTCAAACGTGAACTCCAAACGACAAACGCGACCGCAAGACCGTGGTCACATGACATTCCCAGGTTTGCGGTTTCCCATGAAAAACCTGATGCTAAAGGTTTCTGTTCTCTCGTGACCGCTAACAAATGATAAGAGAAGACTGAGGACGAGTCAGGGTCTCAGGGGAAATTTTGGCGGTAGAACCGCCAGCGCGCAAGACAAATGAGGCGAGGAAGCAATTCGCATCAATCGATTTCTGGATTACAAATGTTTGTCTCTAAACTTTCATAGTCTTAAATATGATCTGATTTGTTGACTTCAAATCACTAGAATTGGGGCCAGCCCGATATCATGTTCTACGGCCTTTTTTGTTTTTAAGTAGATCTTGAACAATTAATGACTGAGGTTGAGTACCTTATGAAGAATTATGGAGATCGAGGAGGGTATTATCCGTCGAGGCTGTAGGCCGAGGCGGATAATACCCTTCGAGATCTCCATACTTCTTCATATGATATGAAAGCCGAATTCAATAATTATTTTATTATTCATTCAAAATAATTCCTAGTTTAAAAACATGGCTAAAACATGCTTACCTTCATCGATCCATCGGTGTTCAGTTCATCTTCAATAGTGAACGTTTAGGTTTGTCCAGTTCCACAAATATTCTCCAAATAGCAGATGTCGCCCTTCGAGTTGTCTTCTTGCTGTTCTTGCCATGTTTTTAGCTATTTTTTCGCCTAGTTCTTACTCTTGAAACGAGTGAAATGTCCGCCATTTTTCAAGTTCACAACCAAAACAACTCAACCTCGTCCCCAGGTCTTCTCGGTTAACGGTTCCTTGACCTGCACGAACGCTACATTGTGACGTCATTTCCACGTTAAACACAAAATTCTTCCAAATTTGTTCATCAGAAACTGGTTATTATGAATTATGCGTGTGCTTTTAGCCAATCAGAATCGGGGAAATATTTTGAATGAATAATAAATGTTGTTATTGTAGTCTACCCCTCTTGACACGGGTGTCTGTAAAAGGAGGACCGGATAACTGCGGATGACGGATGCGGACAGCGGACGCGGATGGGAAAATTATATTATAAACTAGTAAAAGTTGACACTACAGCTGCCCCTGTTCTGTTTATTGTTGGTCAATAGTATTCTTGCTTGTTGTGTTGTGTAGCCTTTTGAAATATACCGATTCATAATGAAGATTTTCACACATATTCCATACAATAGGTGAGATAAATACAGGAAACGCAAGGTTTCTATGCACAGTTTCAGTTTGCTTACACAGCTTTGATAAAACATTCTCTCAGTTTCTACAGTTTTTCAGTTTCTAGAATAGTTTATTCTAAACCATAAGGAAAGATTTAATTAGAAGTTAAAATTTTTTCGCTATTTCTCTTTCTCTTTTTACATTCAGTTCATTTTATTTGCCGGAAAGTAAGCCTTAGAAATTAAAAAGACGTTTGATCAATTCACGCTCTCGCATTCTAGTCTTATTTTAAACTTTATAGTGGAAGGACATCTGTGAGCATGAAATAAATCAGCACAGAATTTGATTGTCGGCGAATTTCTGTAATCGTCCATCGTTCTGCTAGTGATAAGCTAGCCGTTGTTCACTCGTCTTGTTTGTTTTCGGCTGAGTCTTATTCCGGTCAAAGAGAGAGAAAGAGTGCCTGGCAAGGTTTCCTATCAAAGATTTGTGAACTCGTGTCTGGCAACCTCTCCAAGTGTTTTCACATACACAGTTATACGCACCGAGTGTCTTTCGGTCCATAACTTTTAAAACAATTGCTCCACAGAATGTCACTGATAACACGTAACGCAAAAGAGTATCGGCGAAGTATGACTGCACAATAAATGTCACAAAATCTACCGAAGCGGTCCCTTCGGGATTTTCTGTCTTTACGTCATCCTAGCCATTTCGTACTTGCGGGCGCAAACAATAGAAACGTCATCATTACCTACCGATTCCTCGCGGCCCCTGTTTAAGCAAATCGAGATTTTTTCTGGCATACTGATTGTATATTTCAACTGTACGTACTTTCCTTAATATACGCGCGAGTTACTAGAGAGCCTTCTCGGGATTTCGCCTTCTGAGCGAAATCCCTGCGGGGGCAATAATAGTTACATATCCATCATCGGAGAGAAAACACGTATATAAAGTTGTTGGGACAACTTTTTAATTTTGAAAAAAAAAAAGAAACTGGAGAAAACAAGACAAAATAAACCAAAAAAAGGTGAACTGCGCCAAAATATCGGCGTGCGTTGCTTCGCCTATTTCGCGCTCGCCTCGTAAATCGCCCTGTTGCTCCACAAAGGAGCCTGGTATTGAAAAGGCTCT